TAGACTGATTTTTCCATGAACCAAAATGAGTCTTGAAGAGCACAGTTATTCTTGTAATAAGCCAGTGAAAAAAGATAAATCTGGTTGGCCTCTTGAAGCGTTCAAAGGAAAATTTTTAGCCTTGCGCTTGCAGAAAACAGAGACTCCTGAAGGCTTTTGTAAGCAGTAAATAAAACTGATTGCATATTTTCATTACCCTAAAGCTTTCATTAGAAGTAAGTAGTTAAGATTTTGATGGGGAATTTTACTTAAAATGATTGAGTTGCTATAAGTGAGACTGCACGGTATCCTCTACCTCAAGAGGTCTCCGAGGGTAAGTGTCTGAGTCATACTGATAGGAAGAAGAAAGAGGGATTCTTAAAGCACAATAACGAGAAAGTTTATTAGTCATTCAGAGTTGCTGCACTGACAGTAAGCGAAGTAGCTTCAAGACTGGAAGGAGAAGCTTTTGCTGAAACCTTGCAGATATGATTTGCTCCTGTGGCTGAAGTCTAGCAGGTCGCTGGCAGCCAGAGGCAGCTCTGGCACTCTGAGCTGGGATGCCACAGCTTTGCTGGCCTTGAATTCTGCAGCGTGAACACACCTCATGCCGATCTGCCTTGCTAGGCTACAGAACTTGCCAAATACTGAATACACTTCTAGCAAAGCCACTTGCTCTCCAGCCTGAGCAGAAGGATGGCTGTGGACATGAACTAGCGCAGGATCCCCTTGGTTCCTTTTCACAGACGGGGATGTGATCCCTGAGCCATCAGAATCACAATCATTTGCACTTCTCTGTTACTGCACAACTTCTGAAGTGTTTCCCACAGTCTCCCACCTATTAAAACATGGGAGTGAGGTCAAGGTGTGTCTGATTTACTGTTGAATAATTCCTAGGAAAAAAAATTACTTGTAATTTCTGCTACTATAAATAGCCATGCAGTGGCAAACCTCCATGGGTTGCAGCAAAGCAATTCATGGACTACGCTACTATACAGACGCTACACTAGTGTACAGTTTGTCACTAAATACGGCAACAAAGCATTTATGATTTACTTCAGATGTCCATGAAAAAAAGGCCCAGATACAGTCATTGCTGTGATTAAAGCAACTACTTGGATTTTCACTCTTCTGTTGTTCTGAATTATTTAAGTAAGGAAGGCGTATCACATTTGGCTCACAATCTTGCTTGACATTCAGATTTAGTATCATCTATGTTTTTGTCTCAAGACAGAAGAAAGTTAACTCCACTGCTAATTGTGAAAGATGTCTTGCAAAAAAACAAATGAGTTATTACCACTTTGCCATCCTGAACCTCGGAAGGAGATGCACAAGCTTACATGGAAAACATCTTTTGGCGGGTGTTGATTCTGAAGCTGAATGAGGTCACCAAGGGAAAGTGTGGTGCCCATTAAGGGGAGCTCATTCCTCGACTGACATTCATGCTTGAGCAAAAGAGCTGTTCAAGGGAATTAAATGATCAATTGTAGAGAAAGCTAATGTTAGGGAAAGTCAAAGAATCTCCAGATAGAAACAAGGACTGAAATACAGGGTAGCTAGAGAAAGAGGAGTAATAGTATTGCTAAAATTGAACGTAATTCCCTAAGATAGATGGGGTTTGAATCTTTGCAAGTGGGAATAGCTTTCTCCATCTCTTCTGTGTTTCCATGACAGAATGAACAGTGGGATCCCTGATCCTTATCGCTGTTAATTGGTATAGCTCCATGGAGAGAAGCATAATTTTTACTATCTCTGTTGTGCCATGAGACAGAGAAAATCCCCTTTTCCCCATTCCACAGAATCAGGCAGCTCCTCCCCTGAGGCAATCTGCTTCCTCAGCAGTACAGTTCCTCTACTCCTTCTTTTTATCTTGCATTTGGTAACTTTGCTTGAGACTGGTGCAAAGGAGAGTATGAGGGGTAACTCAGAGGCAAAACATCAGAAGCAAGCTTTGTCAAAATACACATTTTCAAAGTCAGTGTGGCTGGTTTACTTTTAAATACTGCTTAAAATTTTTATACAGATACCTGGAAGAAGCATTTATTCATTATAGTTTTATAATTATAACATGATTATTAAAGACTGTCTTCCTTTCTCAGGCAAAATTCTGAGTGTCGGAGGAATTCTGACAGAATGAGATGTGCTACGTTTGGTTTTTATGGTGCAATAATGAAGGCAACAAAATACAAAAAGCCTATAATGAAACATTACACAAAAAGGACACAGACCTTAAGGTGACACAAACAGGAAAAATATAATAAACCATGTGTCATGCTGCTGCAGCTGTTTCACCTCTTACCAATTTTCACAGTCTATAAAATCTTGGAAAGCACCAGATGTTTAGGGGAAGCTGTCCCACTCTCCCTGGCTTTGAAAGTAGATGCAAGATTTATTAGTGCTATATAAATGTGATTTCAGTCTTGACTTTTATATTTATAAACGAGGTGGAACACGTAACACATCCTGTTATCAGAGAGCCCGTTTACTTTCCTCTGCCCCTCCTCACTTGTAGATTTTGGGTGGTGCTGGACAATTACAGTAACTACAGAACAACAGCAGAACATGCAGTCCAGACTACAGCATTCTCTTAGTCACTGACAAGCACATCTGAGAGTTTTCTCCTAGTACCAACTTTTACCAAAACGACCTCGCAATACACAGATTATGAGCTAAGCAAAACTATCTTGTTATGTATGAATATGCACCAACGTTTGGGACTCCTGCCTACGCAGAGACTGTTAGTGCACAAAATTATCTTGTTTTTTTTTTTTTTTTTTTCCTAGTGTGTGTTTCCTAGTATCGGAACAGGGATAAAAACTGCTCATGCATAATTTCCAATCTTTCATAGCTCAGCAGTGCTGTAAAGTGCTGCTGTTCGTTTTAATTCAGTGAGTAGAAGTTTTGTTGTGTTTAGTACTAAGGGAATTGCATGTGTTATTCGAAAGCCTCTGACAGCTGTCAGAGACAGAGACAACTTGCCGCATTTCAATCTTTCATAAAGGAAGGAGTAAGGACCCTCATCTTCAGCACAGCTGTCGAAGGCCTCAAAAATAGGATAAAACAGAATACCTTTTGCAAACACAGGAAAATCTCTGTCTTTCCTCCCCTATCAAGTTACACAGGGAAAGTTGTATAGGTAGAAGAAACGGAAAATATGTCGAGATGTATTTGCACTTTATACTGCCTTGTCATCACTGACCTGAAGGGATAATTGCATAGCAGCCTGCTTTCCTATAAGGAAGCACACAGTGTATTACATAGTATTTAGTAAATTAGCACTACGTTTTAACATGATGTACAAGCTTTCATGCAGTTTTTCTTTTCTGAGAGCAGGAGCAATCAAAATCTGAAAGATGTTGATGAAGGCAAGGGCTTTGCACTAAAGACTGAAAGCTTGAATCTGTAAGCATTTCCACACTTTCCAACACATAGCTCACCCTGCCCAGTACTCTCACTGAATTTAAACCACCAGAAAAGGAAATCTTCTCTTAAGACCTGAAATCTTACCCTCTAGCTTTTGATTTGAACAGGTGCTTGCCTTAATAAAAACTCCGTTGTTTATTTTAGCTAAAATGCTTTTTTTTCCTAGAAGCCTACATTATTTTCTTTGATCAGAATTAGTGACAATTCAGCTTTTGTTTACTCTTTAATGACAAAGGGGAAGTAACTTATGCAATGTCTTTAACAGGTCGGCATTGTTTTTCCATCAGGTCCTACTTAGCTTTCTTATGATGAACTGACTCTTTCACACCCGTAATCCCACAGGTATCCTTCCATACAGCGCTGCTTTCAACGTCAGCTCCTTTAAGCAGTAGAAAGGACTGAGAAGGCATGTTTATTTGCATCATTTGTTTATTATTGTTGTTTGCATTTCTGGCTCATGCTATTTTTATAGCAAACTCAATGCTGTTTTTCACTTTCCACACTCTGATTCGTTTTTCATCCTGTTTCCTTCTCCCTATTCATCTTGCATCACCTCTGTGCTGAATAAAGTGAAAATCCATGAATGAGTCAGAGTCAAGTTTTCAAAGTCACATTGGTCAGTGGGGTTTGAAATGAAGCAAAATGAGATTGCTTATATTTTGTCTTTCCAATAGTAGAAAACAACACTTCCTTTCCTTGGTTGCAATAAAGAGAGCTTTATCCCATGTTTTCCAGCTGCTTTTATTTTCCTGAAATCCAGTCTAGGCTATGATGCTTATTAATGACTGGTGTAACTAGCTGTTTCTGTTCTTTCTATATTATCATTAGCCTTGTCTAATTCCACACTCTATCCTGTGTATCATCAAAAGCAACCTGAAGCTCTTACATCTTGTTAAATGTTACCCTTCTGGGAGGTTTTTTTTGCTACAGGATATCTGAATGGCTGTTTAAAGGAGATTTCTTTCTTGTTTTTTCTTCTTAGTTTACTTGAGTGAAGAATTATGTGAATAGCAGTTTTCCTGAAATATATATTCTATGCTCCATTCTAACATTTTGATTGCATGTTTGGTACTTTCTATTCAGCAGACTGAAAGGGAGACATTAACATATTTTAATGAAGAACAAGGAATTAATAGTTTCTCATGTATGTAAATTTTAAGCTTTTTGCCTATATAGTATCAGAGTTAAGAACAGCAGCTGTTGTGATTTATGTTGACTGGATGTTATACAATATTATTGCCTTCTTAGCTTGCAAGAGTCTAGTTTTCAGTTGTAAGACATACTATTTCTGCCGTGTTCAGCTTGTTACCAAATCCTCAACCAAAGCTTTCTCAACATTTCATATACCATGTAATAATTCAGCTCAGAAGCTGTACCATCACACCATTCCTTTTGAAACATGAAATACGAAAAGTGACCAGCTCAGTGTGGGAAGACTCACTTCTTACTGCAAGCCAGGAAGGTCAATTAGAAAGTGAGGTGTATCTGCAGTTGTTTCATCGTGAATATTCACCAACAGTGTCTTCTAACCTCACAAAACTCTGCAGATGTTTGCTATTACCAGCATTTCCTTCCACTAATATTTAAACTCTTCTTACCTATGAACAGATTCCACTCAGTATCCAAATCAGCCTGATTTGCTAGGCAGCCCTTCATTACATTGAGGCAATAGTTGTTGCATGGTTTCACAGTGGGAAGTCCTCTGCAGTAAGGGCAGTACAACATCTTCATTAACGCCCGGATGCACCCTGGGGTGGGACTGACCTGCAGAGTTTAAGTGGGGGAAAGAAAAAGAAAAAGGAGGAAATCAATCTCCTGTTTGGTGAATTTTGGGATCGCTGAGATTATGCCTCTCAAGCAATAAGCGCAGAAGGGGCAATTTGTGAAAAGAGCTCAACCCTCAATAACATCCTCTTATGAGACTAATCGATTCCTGCCAATTATCTTCATTTAGCACAGCCAGCAGCGATTTTCAGGAATGCAAAAATCAACACTCCCCTACTGATGGCAGTGCTTGCCTCCCCAGCCCTCCCACACAAAGTCTACCGGAAAGTGAAGGAAAAACATCCAGGGAATCAGCTGGACAGTAACTGACTGATCCTAACATGGAGGATCCTGAGGAGACCCCCAGTAGCTCTTCCTACTCAAGCGAGAACTGCCAGTCTCGCCGTCACTGGATCAGATTCTTCTCTTTATTAAAGCACAGTACATCCAGGATAATCTTAAGGACCTCTATAAAATTATTCAGAACTGCACCATGACAAAGGGGCATCATTCTGTTTTCAGATGAAAATGCCCTTCTGTCCTCTCAGACAATTTCATAAAGAGATCAGACAGTTTTGGGTTTGGTTTTTTTTTTTTTTTGTGTGTGTGTGTATGCTTTCAACATCCCAAGTGACAAAAAGCATTATAGAAAACAGTCTAATGCATTTCCGTTTACATACCAGTATGGCACAACGCGGCTGCACGAGGTGAACTTAAAACAGCCACCAGAGTCAATGAAGAGACACCCAAAGAGTTTAAGATTTCCAGTCAAAGTCATTAACATGGAGCATAGATGACAGAAGGAAGTAGTGTGTAGACAGAAATCTTTAGTGATATGTGTTACAGCTTGCACTAGAAGGGTATGGGTTTCCCAGAGAGGGATCATGGAGGTTAGGGAAAAGTTTCTGCATAGGGCTTCTCCATTATTTCTAATGATCCTTCACCTCATATTTTTTAGACACCAAAATGCTGGCCACCTATTCAGCAATGTACCTGACATGTTCAATGGAGAGAAATAGGATTTTTTTTCTTTATCCCACCTACTGAAGGGTAGGATAAATCACCTCCTGGAAGACACCACTGAATCCTCCATATCTAAATTTAAACTGCACAAATTGGTCACATTTGATAATCATGTGAAGCTCCTCTGGTGAACATTATTTCCCTGACCTTCTCATTTCATTATTTAATTGTTTCATCTCAGACTTTTAAAACAGTATGCACTACTACAATGCACATTTTCAGGCCAGAAACTCTAACTTGAATTAAAAGTGCATGTTGGATACTCCTTGCAATAGCATCTTGTCATGGTGCAGTGGAGCATAAGTTTCTTGTGCTGGAGTGACAATCTAGAGCAATGACAAAGGGCTACAGGTTCCTCAGTGATTTCAAAATTCCTGGACAGGAGAGTGCAAAGCAATGGCACTTCTTTCACTCATTCTGTTGGTTTATGAATAAATGCAACATTTCTAATATGAATTTGAAGGGATTAAACTGTTTTTCTATATTCATAGTAACTTGTGATGAAAGCATGAATCTGACTTTGCAGTGTAACAGCATGTGCTAAACCGACTCATGTAGTCTGTATTGTCAGAATTGTACTAAAATGGCACTTGTTTTTCTCTGGAATTTCTTTCTCCCTTTTTGATGTTAAATCACTGATATTTAGAGAACTATACAGAACATACTCTTTACACTGGACATTTTTACATAACAGTGACTCTGTTAATTGTTATAGCAGATGCCTCTGAGTATGCTCAGAGGTGATTTTTGCCCTGGTTTCCTAGGGAAATGTAATTTACTTGCACAACACTGATAGTATGTGGGAAAGTATATTTATCCATCCTTTCCCAATAGCTTTTGAATCTGTCAGCCAAATTCAATCAAATTTGACTGAGGACTTCAGGTCTCAGTACATTAAGATCCTACAAGTTTTTTGAAAACAGGCAGTTGGGAGAAGAAAAGGAGAGAGGCTTTATCACTGTCTTTATTTAGGAAAAAGTTGAAGCACAAAGTCAGTTCCCCACAGATATCCAAGAATTCATGTGGAGGAACGATGCTGTGAATGACCCATGGGTTAAAAAAGCACCAGGTGGTATTTTCACCTTATTAAACAGCAGAAAATTCAAATACAAGGTACAAATCCAAGGAAAGCTGGACTTCATTATTTCCACCACTCAGAACTACATTTTAGAGTCACTTTTTTATCTTTATAACTCCAAACCTAGAACATGCCCATTTTGAGAAAAATATTAGCACCAGAAGTGGGATGTAAGCTATATATACATAAACTTATGGTCAACAACAGAACCTTCAAAATTACTTTGAAATTGTTGTTTAAAGCCAGACATACTTCTATCTGTGCGCACCGAGAATTTTAACAGCAGAGTTCCTTTCATGCTTAAGATTATGCTTCTTCCCAGGCCCATAAGTCTTGCCAATGCAAAGCTGTCAGCACCTGGTTGACTCCTAAGTTCATCTGGAATCCATATGTCCCCCCATCCTTGCCTTCTCATGCTGACAGTATATCTACCTATACAATCTTGACCTTGCACAAAAACTTCCTCGCAATTTCCTTCTTGAAAAGCACAGATAGAGGAGAAAAGACAGTCCCTGCCTTTACATTATATTTATATCAATCAAATATCATAAATATTTATGTGAGGCTTATTTTATAAGAAGTTTAGTCTGAGAGGTAACTAGCTATCATGTCTTTCTCTGCCAGAGGTCCAGATCATAACCCCAGTCTGCTAGGACATGACCCTAAAGGCTAGTTAGAATATTTATTTACACTGGCCCAGTGAATCTTGAATTCTTGTTTCATTACAGAACAGCTTTAGCCAGAGGACTCCCAGACACAGTCCACAGTGGAGCAGTCAAGAGAAATTCTTACCACTCGAAAAGAGTACATGAGATCCAGGTGTCTCATGGCTTGTCTGACTGTTTTAATATCTCCTGTACAAAATGGTGGCATCATCGACAGCATTTCACAAGAAAGGAAGGTGCCCTGCTTTCGTTTATGGAGAAGTAACACTGTTTTTAAGATAAGAGGCCAAGCTGTGACTACAAGCAGAAGGCAAATGGAGAAAGTTTCTAGGTAAGTATCTGACATAGCTATATATATCAGCCTCTGACAAAGGCCAGGACAAGCATCTCCTTTTTGATCAAGCTGGATGTTGCAGACCTCTGTTTCAAAAGATGTTATGCTGGTGAAATAAAATACGAGCACACTCTAAAGCCAAGTGGCAGGGACTGGTTTATGTCCACACTACTTACTACTGTCACCTTCTGCTCCAAGCTGGCCACATCCCATAATACTACATAGTATTTGGCACTACATCTCCTCTGGGTCCCACCTGGTGCCTGAGTGACTAAAATACATAAACCATTATTTTGTGCGGTTATTCTTCAGCTTAAAGTGCTTGGACTATAATTGTAGGCAGTACTGCAGGCAATGGGAGTAAAAGGAAGTTAAATATAACATTGCACATTTTGAAGTGAGGCAAGAGGTTACATTTGATAGTGCTTAGACTATGCTTGGGTTAGCGTTAGAAAGAACGGAAGGGACCAAAACAAGACAGGTATCTTCATGCCGCTTTCTGGAGGCAGTCTCTGTGCTCCAAACAGGGCACAGGCACTGCATGGAGAAAGACAGATGGAGAGGTCCAAAACAGATGCAGGAGGAGGGCTAACAATTAAGCAATGACCTGAGCACACGATGAGTCCCACTCTCAAGCTTGCTCCATATTGCCCTGTCACTTAGCAGTACTGATGTACCTTTAGGTGACCAACCCTTCTCACTTGTGGCACAGGGAAACATTAAAGTAACTCAGCTACTTTGGAAGTCTGAAGGCTAAAAGTTAAATGCTGTGTGACGGCAGTTAAGTGCCTTTGTGAATCTCGCCTTCAGTGAGCAGCCAGGTTTCAGTTCTCAGGTTCAGCTGTTTTTTCTGTACCTGTATTTTCAGAGAATACAGTCAGGTATTTTTCCTCTCTCAACAACAACTGAGCTATCTTTCATGCAAAGAAATAACCAAATTTTGCTCTAACATTCTGAAATCTCAGTAAAAAAACAAACATAAAAAATATCCAGCTTAGAGTGTGAGTATTTCAGAAAGCTATGAACATGTTTTGGGTTTGGTTTATCACAGAAAGTGATTATCACAGAAAGTTGATTTTCAGCCACTACTTGGCTTGCTACTTCTTGCTGCTGGCAAATTCTATGAAATGTATTTTCAAAATGCATTTCTCATTTCCGTCTTCAAAAAAAAAATAAATTCAGAGTCTCTCACACCTAATAATACTTTTTTTGCAGACCAGTCAAAAGGCAGATATTAATTTCATTCAGAAGTATTCAAAACCTGCATTTGCTAAGAAGAACTGATCCTCAGCTCAGGAGTTTCAACAGTTTTTCTGTAACTAACATTTGTGGATGGATGTGGCTTATTTTTTTTTTTCTTTTTCTCTTTTAAAATACATTGCAGTTGACTCTATGCTAATCGCAGCAGAGAAATTTGCATAGACTTCAAAGTTTAGAAATAACTAGTCCTTATTTAAATCATATATTATAAATCAATCAGATCACACTGCATGACATAACTGGGGAAACTGCTATAGAGAAGTCAGTAATTATATCATGCTGCCTCCCTGACTGACTAGGACATCTTCATTTTAGTATAAGCTTATGTGGAATGCGGCACATCAGAAGAGTGCCTTTCTGAGCTTTGATTGAGCCTAGTAGCTGCAGGACATGTTACATTACTGCATTTTGTAACATCTTCTGACAGCTTCAGCTTTATCTAAATGTACATTTTTGCATACATGCAAAAAAAACAAAAAGCAAGATACTTAAGGGCTTCATTACCGAACACTTGTTTTCCCCCTTCAGAAAGCCTAGGAGGAATATTACTTCATCTAGAAGACAGATTTTGCAATGGTGTACTTGCAAATATAAATAATTGAGGAGAGAACTTATTTGAGTAAAAGCCATGAAATTGTAC